TCTGGAATGCTTGGATCGCGAAGAGAGGGCAGGGAATTGGGTGGGAGGATGGAAGGAGAGCGAGAATTGAGAAAGGGAAGAGAATGGAGGCAGATCGTACGATAAATGGGAAACCACAGCTGATAATGGGCCGAGTGGTACGGCCCCCGTCCTTGCCGTCGCCCACATCGAGGGCGTTGTATCTTTGCACGTTAAACACAGGCAGAGATACATCCCATCGAGTGACGACTGGCGTACAGTGCCCGGGGAGCCAGGAACAGCGCGCCGGCCTGCCTCATTTTCGACAGCTCCACAGCGAGAAACGCCACTGAGCCAAGAAAGCCACTGATAGCTGGCCTAAGGTATGACAACGCGCGCAAGGAGGGGCTTTGCGCTGAACACACGCTTCCAGTTCCAGCCAGGTTTGCCAGCCCAGCCAGCCAGAAACCCAGTGCCAATACGGACACAATCGACGCCAATGCCAGCAGAGAGCTTCTTCTTCTTCATGAAGTGAGTGATTGCCCGTGGTCCCGTCACATCCTCCCTCGTTGCCAACGGGCGTGAGCGTGGGAGCGGGCACTTTTTCCATCTCGTCATCCCGTCGGGCCTCATCAGTGTTTACTAGCTATGCACGCATTATCCGTGACTGACACACACACACATCTCTGCACAGCAAATAAACTGCCCGGTTTGCGTCTGCCCAGACTCGACGTCCCAATTTACTCCCATGTCCATCAGCCATGTCAGTCTTCTCCACGTCCCCCGGCGCTCGCCGTAGCGTCGTCCATTGGGTCCCATCGGATCGCCGAACAAGAAAAAGTCACTAGACCTCGAGGCTAGAACAACAAGAGAAAAAAAAAACATAGACACACGAATGGCACACACACCTACGCACGCTCTATGGCCCCATTTCGTACAGTGCTTGGGCCGCTGCAAACAGCCATGGCCGCTGCTAGTTCCAGACCACTCCGATGCCCCATCCCCGCCGCCAATCCCAGGGACCGCATGTCGCCTGTGGCTGCCCTATCGTCTCTCTCTCCCTCCCTGGGTCTTGGTGTCTGGTGTGGGTGCGTGTCTCTCGAGAGTCTCTCTCATCTCTTTTTCCTCTGATCCGAGTCCTCGCTCCGTAGGTAGTGCTTCCTCGGCCTTCAGAAGTTCAGAACAATGGGCAATGCCTCGCCCCGACCGTCTTCCCCTGCCTCTGCCCGCCCTCTCGACCAACCCGCCTCGCAAGTGTCTCACAATGGACATGGCTGCGACTCGACCTGCCACGATCCCACGGCCAAGCACCCCTGCATGCCCTCGACAAGGCTGCTAACATACCCCAGCTTCGTTCCCTCTGCGTGCCCGCCAAACACGGCCGTCTGCTGTTAACCTCGCCGTACCCCTGCCGATCAGCACATGCAGACACACGCAGACGCGAGACACCCTTCGCTCTCATTTGAATCATCTGAAACGCCTATTCGTCCTTGACACACATGGCACGAACCCTGAATGCACTCGACAAGAATGCAGAGAAAACCCTATTAAATACCTAGATGCTAGATTCGCGTTTCCAGAAGCATGATAGACCTGCTTTTCCTGACTCTCGCCGTGCACCTAGGGCCATGACTCTGACTCTCGCCTACCCGTGTTTCCGCCAGCCCGGTGTGTGGTGGTAGTGTGGCATGTTTTCCGTGGACGCGGTGCATCTGCTGCTGCAAGTGTATGGACAAAGAAATCTCGAGATACACAACGCCCCTCTTCATCAAAGAAAATCGTAATCGCATTAACCCGGTCGCCCTTGCTATCCACAGTCTATTTGGTATATCCCCTTTCTAACCTCTCACCAAATGTCGTCCTCGCTCTTGACCATCTCCAACGTCGGCGTCTTGGGCTCGAGCTTCTTCATCCGTTTGCGGTCCGCCTTGGTCACCAGCGACGGGGTCATTGGCACGATGGGCGTGAACGGCTGGTACGGCGAGTACGGCACAGCCATGCCTGTCGCCGGCGTGCGGGCTCCCGACGGCGACAGTGGTCCCGTGCGTGTGAACACGGTCTGCTTGGTGGTCTGCGATGCCATGGATGGCGAGCTGAGGGCCGGCTCGTATGCACGCAGGGGCAGGGCGCCGCCAGTGCGGACAGCCGACGGAGCTTTGGACCGGAATGTGGCCCCAGCCTGAGGAGACGAGAGGAACGTGGCGCCGGGTTTGGGGGAGGCGGGCAGGGTGGGGAAGCGCGCACCCGGCTTCGGGGACTGCGGCAGGCCGATGAGCGGGGCCGTTGACCTCTCTGTTGTGGCCGAATTGGGGTCCATGTCGGAGGTGGCGTGCGACGCGTGTGACGGCGCCGCCGAGATCTTGCGGGCGTGGCCAATCGGGAGTTGTCCTCCGATCCGCTCGTCAATGCTCTGCGTGCTCTCCGGCGAGTGGTCCGGGGTGATGGGCGACACCTGCCCGTTCTCCTGGTGCACCCCGTTCGGGACCTGGTTGGTGGGTACCGGCGGAGGCGGCGGCGGCGCGTACTGCCGCGGCGGGATGGCGCTCATCTCCTGCGACTCCTGCCTCGGGAAAGTTCCCGTCATGGGCGTCATGATCGGGGACGAGATGCTGATGCCCTTGACGTGCTTGTCCTTCTTGGGGGAGCGCAGGGCCGAGAAGATGGACGACGCGCGGGACTTCTTCTCCGGCTTGGGCTCCGCGCCGAGGTTGAGGTTGGCCGGCTTGTGCTTCTCCTTCTTGAGCGTCGGCTTGCCAAAGTTGGCATTGTTCGGCGGCGGGAACTGCGAGTTGCTCGCGAGCACCGGCGAGCCCTGCAGTATGATGCCCTGCGCCTTGGCCTCCTCCTGCTCCATCACGTACTTGTACATCTCCTCGAGCTGTGTCTGCGCCATCTTCTTGTCTTTTGCGACGATCCTCTGGTCCACGGAAGCGTCGATTCCAGGTGCGTGCAGAGTTGACGTGGGCGTCGGGGCCACGTACGGCGTCTGGGGCGACGGGATTTCCGGGGTCTCGTAGTCCTCCGGCGGCGGGTACGAAAAGTTGCGGACGGGGCTCCGCGGGATGCTCCTGGGCGAGTTTGGCACCTCCAAGGTAAGTCTCAGCGGCCTGGGTGACGCCTTTGGTTCGTCAAAGTCGACCTCGTTGTCGCCAGCGGAGAGGGCCTCGCGACGTCTCTTGGACAGTACGAGCAGCAAAACGGCGACCAGCACCAATGACACGCCGTATGAACCGACGATGGCGCCTATCTGATATGGCAGGTAGGCGGGATCTCTCAAAGCGTTTGCAGATGCGGGCGGACCGTCCTCGGGCGATGGTGCAGGACCCCACTGGATGTTGAGGGGATTGTTGTTGCGAGGCTCGTGGGCGGAGGGCACTGCGTGTGTATAACTGCAAAAGAAGAAAAGAGCGAGGGTCGAGAAGCGAAGTCGAGAGTTAAGAGTCGGGGCTTTGACGGGTTTCATGGTGGTGAGGACACCGGAAGTCTTTAAAAGTCAAATCCAGCTTTGATGATCTTACCTCCTGGTGGAGGGTCCGAAACACATTGTGATGGAGAAGTTACATGGAAAGGCACGGTCATGCGGCGCACAAAGGGTATATAGCGGCTGGTGAGGTTCGGCAGTGCGTCGAGATTGGCGCTGGCCATGTGCTCTCGACTCTGACTTGCTGAAGCCCCCAGGCACGAGTCTGCGAAGCGGTCGCACTTGCATGATGGCGACCTCAATGGAATTGCAGTAGCGCCCAAAATGGCCCGTGGCTATTAATGTCGTCTGCAGAGGAGGCGGGAGGACCAAGGGCTTCCCGAGATGTGGTTGGACGGATCGACGTGATGGCAGGGGCCGTAAGCGCCGAGTAGGGCTGCCGGGGTCGTGATTGGGCTGCTTCGTCACATCCGACCCCGCGCCGTGCCACACACGAACTGACTCTGCCAACTCAATTCGTTGATGCAGGGCAAATGCATGCCGGCGAGGCCCCAATCCGCTGGCCACTCATGGCCGAATAGTCCCAGGAGACATGGTTCAAGACGTGAGAAGAATGTGAAAAGACGAGCGTCCCCGGGTCAGCTGTGCTGTCGTCTCGCTTTCTCGTCCTGTCTTTTGGCTTCGCAGCAGTCGCCGCCGCGGGCATCCCCTGCGTCGGCCCATCACCCGTCTCTCTGACCGCATACGCACTGCTGCAATAGGCCATGACATATGGCACAGACCATGCCCTCTGCGGAATCGCTATCACAGGCATCCTCGAATGGGATCTCTGCGCAGTGTGACTTCACATTGTGGTCAGCATTAAAGCGTGATGATCGCAACTTTGCAGCCGTGATGGCATGCGTGATAGGATCGTCGTCGCCGTTCCCCTAGGCTGATGGGACGTTGACTTGGAGTTTGCCCGTTGAGCTGCGCTGTTGCGAACCAGAAAACCTTGGGAAAACGTCCGCGTCGCTTGCAGCGGGAATAATGTCTCTTTGCGAGTCATCGAAGCGAAAACAAACTTTGTCCGAGCGATGCTTGACCCGAGTCCCGATTGAGCGTTCTCGACACCCTCCAGCTGGATGGCCAGAGGAAATCGAAACAATTTGGGCGAATCAGCGGCGTCGAGCGCGAACGCTAGTCTCGGCGGGTGGTATCTCTCTCGGGGGACAGCCGATGGACGTTTGATAGATATCCGGAGATGGATAAGTTCGTGAAGGCTGGTGTTGGTGGAAGCTTCTTTGATTCAATGATGACGTTTGCCGAAGCAAGACTGGCTGGCTGGATCGCCGGGTCGCCCGGTGGTCTGGCTTCTTGGGAACAGTTATCAATGTCTCGGAGGCGGTGGCAGTGGTGATGAAGCCGGTGGTGGAGTAGTGGTTATCCGGAGTGGGAGCGGACATCTCGCTTGGTCTGTGCTCAAGCGAGACATGTGCACGTGACACCGTATGGGCCGGGGATCTGCCGGGTCCCGGCGTGTTGACGGTCGCGCGGCGAGACGCGTCTGTAGTCTGATAGCCGGCACGCTTCCCTTACGACCAACTCATTTGCTTGACGTCTCCTATGACCGCTCTACACGATGAACTCGTCGAGTTCGGCCCCCGGCCCGGCTGAATCCATCCTGGCCACGCTCAACACTGCACAATGCCGAGCTGTCACGTCCAAGGCTGCGACGGTAGCCATCCTGGCAGGGCCAGGCAGTGGCAAGACGCACACGCTCACTTCACGTGTCGTATGGCTCGTTGACAATGTTGGATACGCGCCATCAGAGATCATTGTGGCCACATTTACAGTCAAGGCCGCCAGGGAGATGAAGGAACGCATTGGCAAGGCACTGGGAGGTGACCGCGAGAAGCGAATCGTTCTGGGCACATTTCACAGCATTGCTCGTCGGTACTTGGCTGCATACGGCAAGCGGATCGGGCTTGACGAAAAGTTTGGCATCGCAGACGACTCAGACTCGAGGGCCATCATCCAGAGGATATGCAAACGCTTCCAGCTAGGAGTGGATCCCCCGGCGGCGAGGTCCTGGATCAGCAAGAAAAAGGCCAAGGGTGACGTCCAAAGCCCTCCCAAAGGAAAGGCCTCTAAGCCGGAAAGCCCCGATCTGGAGACCTGCTATCGAGAGTACCAAAACCACTTGGAGCGGTCAAATCTCTTGGACTACGACGATCTCCTGACCAAGTGCGTGGAGCTGTTGCGCAAGCATCCTTCCTGCGTCGCCAACGTGCAGGCTGTGCTCATTGACGAGTACCAAGACACCAACGGCATTCAGTACGAGCTCATGAAGCTGTTTGCACAGGCCCGTGAGAGAATCACCATCGTGGGTGACCCGGACCAGAGCATCTACGGCTGGCGATCAGCCGAGATCAAGAACCTCTACCGCCTTTTGAGGGACTACCCGAAGACAGATGAAATCTCCCTGGAAGAGAACTACCGATCCTCGCAGGCCATTCTGGATGTATCCCTCAAGATTATTCAACAGGACAAGCGGCGATACCAGAAAGTGCTGTTACCAATCCACAACAAAGGGACACGTCCGGTTTTGCGCCGACTGAAATCCTCCGCCGTCGAGGCCGAATGGATGGTCTCGGAGATTAAGCGAATGCTCTTGATGGCAGGCAAGATGTTGAATTACGACGACGTGGCGATTCTGCTGCGATCCGCCTCGCTCTCCAGACATATCGAATCAGCTCTGGGCAAAGCAGGCCTGGCTTACCGCATGGTTGGTGGATTCAAGTTCTACGACCGCGCAGAAGTCAAGGTGATTCTTGATTACCTGCGCGTCATTTACCAGCCGGACAACAACGACGCCGTTGCGCGCATCATCAACGTGCCCCGTCGCGGTATCGGCGACGCCACCATCAAGTCGCTTCTCGAAGAGGCAGAGAGCGCCAAGCTTAGTGTCTGGTCTCTGCTGAACAAGCACTGCCGAGGAGACCGGACTGCCAAGACCAACATCAAGAAGGCCATGGAGCAGAAAATCAGCGGCGAACTGATTCGGATAATCTCGGGCATTAGGAGGAAAATCGAGGAGCCCCCGACAGGAAGCCCCTATTACCATCTCGTGGACATGATCGAGAGCCTCCTGAACCAGCTCAACTTCCAAAAGTACCTCCAGGAGAACTACCCGGAAGACCACGAGGCACGGTGGGCCAACGTTCAAGAGTTCATCAGCTTAGCTGGCGACTTCATGCGGGATCTGAGTGCCACGGCGGATGAGGATCGCCTCCCAGAGGTCGATGGGGTCCAGCAGGTCCAAGAGAACGACGCTCTCGGCCGGTTTCTGGCAAACGTCTCCCTGGCATCAGACGCGCAAAAGGGTGATACCGAAGGCAAGCCTCTGGTGACCATCTCGACGATTCACGCAGCCAAGGGACTCGAGTGGCCGGTCGTCTTCGTCCCGGCGGTGTACAACGGGTCCATCCCGCATGCGCGGTCTGAAGACATGGACGAAGAACGCCGGCTTCTGTATGTGGCCATGACGCGAGCCAAGTCTCTGCTCTACCTCAGCTGTCCCATGTACAGTTCGTCAAACGGAGGCAACGGGGGCGAGCGCACCGAGCTGTCCAAGTTCATCCCTTCGGAGATCCATCCGTACTTTAGGAAGCGCGGCCCGTCGTTTGAACCTGGTGTGCTACAAGAGGTTGGCCGGATTCTCGGGCGAGAGTCCGAGGTCCCCTCGCAGAACAAGGTCTTTAGCGAGATGCCGCTGATGGAAAGACCGGAAGATAACCTGTACCCGGAGAACCCAGAGGATGCGTTTGGAGATGGGGGCAACGACAGGAATCGTCAATGGCAGCGGCGCGCTAGGCCGCGGATGGCGTTGGCTTCAGAGGAAGATGCCCAGGCAGCTCCATCATGGCATACCTCTGGAACGGCCACGACAATGGATGCGGCATCAAGCTTTACCATGTCGTCCCTTCCCGGCTTCACAACCGCGACCGCGGCTCAGTCGGCGATACAGGCTGCCGCGAAAGAAATGGCAGCGTCAGTCCAAGGCCCAGACCGTCGCCAGGCGCCGCAAAAGTTGACAGGCCCCAGGAGAGGGACAACTAAGCGCCCGGCCGATCAGCAGAGCCTCCTGGGATTCGTCAAGCGATCGAGGTCCGACATGTCAGACACTAGCAGCATGCCCGCCCCTCCTCCGCGGCATCCTCTCCAGGAGATGCCTGAGCTGCCTAATCTGCACCGAGGGCAGATCCCCACACCGGCCATCGAGCCTGGTCTTGCTGGCCACAAGTTAGGCGCCAGGATGCTCTCCAAGCCGTCGAAACCAGCCTTGGACGGCGATGCAGGGCCAAAGAAACATTACGCAAACTTCTCGAGCTCGCCACCGAGACCAGAGAAGGAAAACGAAGACAAAGATGTGCCGCCGGCCATACGAGAGCGCCCGGCGAGCTGTTTGCACGCTACGACAACGACGAACGGATTTGGGGGTTTTAAGAGACCCGCGGCGTTGAAGAAGGAAGGGGGGATTGCACCCATAGACCGGCTGCGAAAGCCGTTCAAGCCGCTTACGATTAAGAAATGAGGGGCGTTCACGTTGCATTGGATTGGCGTTGCTGTGCGGATAGATTATGGCTCACGGGCAGTTGTAGAACATGTTGCACCAGGCGCGAAATATGAATCACCTATTGAACCAAGAATGTCATCTTCCAAGCAGGTTTGATTGGCGAATGAATGATCTGACCCGATGCACTCCGATGGGTCAGATCCCGGGCTCAGCCGGTCTTGGTGGCGCCTTCACGCCTTACCATGCCGTTTAAGGATGACGCCTGACGCATCCTTCGTAATTTTCGTAGCAGAGACGCTCGGGTCGTAATTAGCGACGAGAAAGATAAATACGACGGAGTCGGGGCGATGTCAATGACCAAGAGATCAGAATAAATCCTACTCGATATTCACACTCTTCAAACAAGATCAGTAATTACTGTACCCGAAAAAAAGACTCCAAAATGTCTCCAATGGCCGCGCGCATCACCAACACGGCCCTCCGCGGTCCACTCCGGGCGCCGTACTCCGCGTTCTCCACCACCGCCCGATCCCGAGCCGGAGCAGGGAAGAGCACCAACGGCAGCAAGCCAGACGACGTCGAGATTTCGGCGTTCAACCTCCGACATATCACATCGAGCCCCAGGGCGAGGTTCTGGTTAATCTCGGGCTTCTGTGTGCTTGCGTCGATTGAGGGTTACGGGTGGTACAACTTTGGGCCGAAGATCTTGGGATGGGAGAAGGGGGAGGAGGAGGTTGAGAGTAAATAGGTGGATCATGTCAAGCCGTCTCATTTGGACGCGGTTCGGGTGTAGCGTTGTTGGTTCGAGACTTTGTAACTTCACTCTTTTGAGTTCTCGCGGCTGGCTTATTCACCAGTCTAATCACTACTCTTCAATACGTTCTTAGTTTTGGCATCTCTGTAATGCATTCATATGCCTGGCACAAGACTTTGCCACTAATTCCGCTCCGCTCACTTACCCGTCCACGTGTTGGCATCGAAAATAGTACAAAAGGTGCGGACGTGTACCCGAATGGACAAGGCTTTATAATTGAAGACCTTGAAGGGCACTCATACACTTGGCGAAATGGGAAACTCAAATCACGAAATGATAGCCTTGACCACGGGATCATGGGCAACTTTCTTTAGTTGATGACACGTTGGAAGAAGATTTACTACAGGATATAAAATAAACCTCACAGTGACTGTTGGTTTGATCGCATCATCCACAAACCTCTCCAACTTCAACCTCACCTCATTTTACGCTATCAAACACATCATGGACTCCGTACCGGAAAAGCAACCACTGCATGATGAATCTACAGCAGATTTTGACAACATCTACGACGCCGAGAAGAATGTTGTGAAAATAGGCCGTGACCTTCCGGCTTTCCAACGATTCCTCTTAAAACACAAGACTTTCATCATACGGCATACTCGTCTATGGCAGACTCGACTACATTTGCCGCACCTTTTCGACGAGGACATGTGCGACGAGTGCTTTTATCCCATCATCCTTTCGATTATCTCAGGCTCCATCTTGGTCACTATGTCCGCACTCTTACTTTTGGTGGTTTTTTTATTTCCCCACCAAGTTCCGGAGGATCGTTTCTTGACGGCTGTTGTCATCAGTTGCATTCCAGCATTCTTTTCTTTGGAGTGCTGGTTTTATCTGGCCTTTGGACCAAGTCAATCTCAACCGCGAACGAGGGCAGAGACCGCAGAGTGGTCACTGGACTTTACCTGGTTGGATGAACGAGCTTTTCACCGGACACTTGGGTGATTTGGGGTTTTGGACCAACAACCCCTCAAACGGACATCACCTGTCCGGACGGTGGTTACAATAGACAGAGGAAGAACGTAAATGACGGAGTGGTTCACAAATTATGCGACAGAGCCCTCTCATGTGTAAATTGATGGAAAGCAACGGCCAGTTTAGTAGTTCACCAGTTTAGTGGTTTAGAGACAGATTTCAATTCACGGATATTCTGTCTGCTAAATGGCCAATCTTTTGAACTCCCAGATGAGAGTGTCGAAAGACCTGGCTCCGTCTCTGAGAGCGACTTAAGTTGGGGCTTTGATCACGAACATGTTGTCACCAGCGTTATCTTGATATTGCCATTGAACCTGCGACAGCTTATGTCCTAACTTCTGTGGATTTCTGATGATGCCACCCGTCGTGTGAAATGATGCCAACTTTCAGTCTCAAGGTTCATCGCAAAGGTGGCAGAACAACAATAGACAGCAATGGGAGGCTCAGAGGGGCACTTACAAGAACCTTGGTTGCGAGGCGAAGTAGAAGACTCAATGTATCGACCCTCTCATACAACGGCACGTAGGGAAAAAATTCAAACCAAAACACGTTCAAAAATCTGGACACATTACCCAAGTTCAACTTCAACTCCTACACCTCATGTTGCCAATGAGGCAGAAGCAAAGACAAACACGCCTTCCGCATTCGGCAGGTGCTTCTTCCCCCACGTGACTTGTTTCGTGACGACATTGACATCCGGGCCGAGTGGCTGGGGCCCAGCCCGCCAATGGAACGTTGAGCTGGAGGTCTCCACTCCTCCTGCACGCCTGTGGCAGGTGCGTGTGGGCGTCGGTGCGGATGACGCAGGGCGGCACGCGGGCGGTACCTGGGTGTCGCAAGTGCCTGGGCTGACTACCAGACCACCGCTAACGTGCCGGAGCTCCCACGAAGCTTGTTGGCGTCGTACACCTCACCTCCGACACATCACCATCGCCGTCGCCATACCTCTGGCCTTTCCATCGTCGTCTTTTCTCTGGGTTCTGCCATATCTCCTCATTTCACATTTCCCGCCTATTCCACCAGATAGTCACCGATAACAGCCCAATACAGCCGCTGCGCGGCAACACTCGCGATGACCCTGTGGAAGCTCTTCGGAGCCGGCGGGCTGCTGATCGCCGGCATGAACGGCGCGGCAGCAGAGCCATTTACACCGAAACACGAAGCCGGACGATGTGCGATTCGAGGCCACTGCGGTTCCAAGAGCTTCTTTGGCAAGCAGCTGCCCTGTGTTGACAACGGGCCTGCCGAGGACCCGGACGAGAAGCTGCGACAGCAGATCGTCGACCTCTGCGGAGAGAAATGGAAATCGGGACCTGTGTGTTGCGATGCTGACCAGGTGAGCACACTCAATGAGCCGTTTGAAGCATTGTCTAACCCGCGCAGGTGAAAGCGCTCGCGTCCGAGCTCGGCACCCCGAACCAGATCGTGTCCTCCTGCCCGGCCTGCAAGGACAACTTCTTCAACCTGTTCTGCACCTTTACGTGCTCTCCGGATCAGTCGCTCTTCCTCAATGTCACAAAGACGATGGAAAAGAACAAAAAGGAGATGGTCACCGAGCTGGACCAGCTGATCTCCGAGGAATACGGAACGGGCTTCTACGACAGCTGCAAGGAGGTCAAGTTCGGGCCGTCCAATTCCAAGGCCATGGACTTTATCGGAGGCGGCGCCAAGAACTACTCGCAGCTGCTCAAGTTTTTGGGAGACGAGAAAATCATTGGATCGCCGTTCCAGATCAACTTCCCGACCTCCTACACCGAGCCCGAAATGTCGCCCAGAGAGATGACGCCCAAGAAGTGCAACGACGAGGACCCCAACTACCGCTGTGCATGCGTCGACTGCCCGTCCGTGTGTCCGGAGCTCCCTGCCGTTAAGAGGCCCGGCGAATGCCACGTCGGTCTTCTGCCCTGTCTCTCGTTCGCCGCCATCTTCACCTACAGCATCCTGCTCTTCTCCGCGATTGCCGCCGTCGTTGGACACGTCTACTGGAGACGCCGTGCCAGGAGGGAGAGTGAGCGTCTGAGACTTCTGCAAGATGCCTCTCCCAGCGACGACGAAGACGAGGGCGACTTGGTCCAAAACGGTGCCATGTTTGACCGTCCCCAGCGCTACTACAAGATCAACACGTGGTGCGACGCGGCCTTCAGCAAGCTCGGACATGCAGCGGCAAGATACCCGGGCATCACCATTGGTGTGTCGCTGATCTTCGTCATCATTTTCAGCGCTGGCTGGGTCCGGTTTGACCTTGAAAAAGACCCCGCACGTCTCTGGGTTAGCCCGACCTCCCCTGCCGCGCAGGAGAAGGCGTTCTTTGATGAAAAGTTTGGCCCCTTCTACCGCGCCGAGAAGGTATTCCTGGTCAACGACCGGGACGGCCCGGCTCCCGTCCTCAGCTACGACACGCTGATCTGGTGGATGGACGTCGAGAAGAGCGTCAAGCAGCTGAAGGGTGCCAAGTATGGCGCCACCCTCAACGACATTTGCTTGAAGCCTACCGGCTCTGCCTGTGTCGTCCAGTCTGTCGCCGCCTACTTTGAGAACGAGCCGGCGCTCGTGGGCCGTGACTCCTGGCAAGACCAGCTCCGACGGTGCGCCAAGTCTCCCGTCGAGTGCCGCCCTGACTTTGGCCAGCCAATCGAGCCGAACATGATTCTCGGAGGCTACGACGAAGACCCGGCCAAGGCCACCGCCATCACGGTCAACTGGGTCGTCAGCAACGCAGCCGAGGGAAGCCCTGCCGTCGAGCGCGCCATGGACTGGGAGAATGCTCTCAGAGACCGTCTTCTCATCGCCCAAGAAGAGGCCAAGGAGCGCGGACTTCGCCTGTCCTTCTCTACGGAGGTCAGCTTGGAGCAGGAGCTCAACAAGTCCACCAACACCGATGCCAAGATCGTCATCATCAGCTACATCATCATGTTCCTGTACGCCTCTCTCGCTCTGGGATCCACCACTCTGTCGATCAAAGACATGATGAGAAACCCCGCCGTCGCGCTGGTGCAGTCCAAGTTCAGCCTCGGTGTTGTGGGTATTCTCATCGTCCTCATGTCCATCAGCGCATCAATCGGTATCTTCTCCTGGGCCGGTCTCAAGGCCACCCTCATTATTGCCGAGGTTATCCCCTTCATCGTCCTCGCCGTGGGTGTCGACAACATCTTTTTGATTGTGCACGAGTTTGAGCGAGTCAACGTCAGCCACCCCGACGAGATGGTCGAGGAGAGAATCGCCAAAG